TCAGGATGAAGAAAAAACTATTCTGGCACAGCAGTAGGCTAGCCCCAGATTTAAAACTGAAACAACTGTAAGAGTCTGACTCACAGATGAACACAATACAGAAGCCTGATGATGTCAGATGAGATTCTGCCGAAACGTTGCTACATGTATATATGTAGAGGAAAATGTTCAGGGCAGATCTTTTTCTGTGAGCCAATTGTTACCAAAGTGTAGCTGATGAAACGTTACAGTTGCCACCTTGGCAATTATCTATATTGACCTTGTCAACTATTAATACATTGTCCAGAAAGGTACTATATTAAAAATTATTATAATGCCAATTGTACTTGATTAATATTTTTCATAATATTATTTGAAACCTCTCATCTCTTTTCATGCTGACATTATTTAAAAAATATTTCTTGGTTGAATTTCTTTAACAGACTTTGGCATTCAATTCGTGGAGTCTACTTTGGCTATTTTGGACAGCGCAGAGTGTTTGAAATTACTGAATCCTCCGATATAATTTTGCCCTGTGATGTCAATGAAATTCCATTCACAATAAAAGAAGAATCCAAGTTTTTGGATAAAAAGCAGAAGTTTGAATATCCTCTGTTTTTTGACAGGGAAAAGTGAGTTTGCACAACTGCTTTGTTGAAAGTATTTGTTTAACACACTTTCAAATCAGAAGTAATGGGGATAAGAGGCTCATTAGTATTATGATTAACTAGACAGCCCAGGACCTGTTGAATCATCCTTTCCACATAAATAGGGCCAGCACCATTTCCTCCCTCCCCCTTTCTAACCTTTTGCTAGTGAAACTTCCTCTTCTTCCTCGGCTGATCCAAGGATTGCTTCCCCTTTGTGACGGAAGGGGAAACAAGGGGACCATAGACCATGAAGAAGACTGCTACCTGCTCTCCATTCTGGTATACTCCCAAGAACCATCTGCCTCTACGGAGGGAGAAGTTTCAACAGTTGACCATTGGTTTCCCCCCACCAACAGCTTACTTTGTCAGCAACCATCTGAATCTCTCCCTCATTCCACCCCTCAGTGCCTATTACCATTAAGAAATTTCAAATTTTGGTTTCAGTTCCACATTGTCATTCATCCATTGGCCCATAACAATCAAGTGACCAATGCTGACCGCAGCAGCACAGAGGCAAAATTTGAATCCAACAGGAGTAAGTGGTGCTAGATTTAATTTAGCCCTATGATGCATCTATCATTTCACCCAACTGAAAATTATAAACAGGAAAAATTTAATAGTATATATAGATTTTGCACCAGATGTACTGTATTTCACACAATCATATTTGTATAAGGAGTAGCACATAATGTCAACTAATTGAGTTTCTGTTAACTTGATGGTCCTTTTATATTAATGCTGTTAATAAGATCCTTAATTTTTCCCAGAAATGTCCTCATCATTGATCATTCCTCTAAAATAAATCAGGAATTGTTTTGTCTCAAACTCAAGGTTAATCGTACCAAACTTGATTGCAGGAAATACGACTTCAGCAACAGAGTGGTCAGTGTCTGGAATACTCCACCCGACTCTGTAGTTTCTTCCCCAAACCCCAAAAACTTTAACTTTAGACTGTCTACTATTGACCTCACCCCTTTCCTAAGAGGTCTGTAGGGGGCGGGCATGAGCGCACCAACGTGCCTACCGTCCCTGTCCTATTGTTTCTTTTTTTTATTTTTCTAATATGTATCCATGTATTCATAACTATGTTTTTACTTATACCTGTTATCTTGTAAGCAATTTATAAACCAAATAAAAATAAATAAATAAATAAATAAACAAACTACCTGAATCTTTTACTTTCATCTGTGGTAATCACCAACTGCCTCTCCTTTTTGGCTTGGTTTTTCTGTGTCATTGTTAGAAGCCACATAATGGGAAATATCTTTTTTCTTTTCTCACTGTGATGTCAGACAGCAAATAGGATTTACTGAAGTACTGTTTGCCTGTCAATAAAATTATCTCAATAGTTTCTGCCCATCGAGTACGTTCCAGAAGAACGACTGCGCTTCAGGTCCATTAAACGCTGTCACTTTGTGGGACCATGGAAACATGCCTTCTCTGATGCTGCTCCCACCCTCTGGAACAGAATTCCCCCCTCCCTCTCTCCTGGGGTTCCGAAACCTTTGAAAACCTGGCCTGGATCCCAGGCCTGGGTTGGTGTTCATGATTTGTGTAAGGCCCCTGCTTTGTTTTAATGTATTTGTGGTTTATTAGATCATTTAAATCTAGGCTAGCTATCCAATGTAATGGGTTTAACTATTATTGGGTTTTTTTATAGTTTTGCATGCCACCCAGAGTCCACTGGGGGCATGCAGCCAATAAATAATTTGTATTTATTAAAGAAGTGTATTCCATGCAAGAGTCTTGCCTGGGTGTATTTCTGATTTAAAGCAATCTTACAAAGGCACAATCAGAATAAATAGCCATTATATTCAATGAATATTATTCTTCAATAATTATATTTTAACAGGGCTTATGCCTAAGCAAATTGCAGCATTAAATTAGCAGAGCAGTACTATTTTTTTTTCCTGGTGACCATATTAAAATTGAGGTTAATTGTATTCATCACAGACATAATTATGAAACTGAATGCTTCCTTTGTTTTGCAAGTAACATATTGCTTCTCAATTATATCTTTTTAATAGATGGAAGACTATGACCAAGTCATCTTTAAACTTGAAAAAGCCTAGCCGACATGAAGTTGATCTGGATTTTAAGTTTTTCAAGTCCCTGGCTTCTCCCAAGGTACTTACTCACCGTTGAAACTTTATTTTGCCTTACTGCAGTGTTTCTCAAACTCGGCAGCTTTCAGATGTATAGAGTTCAACTCCTGGCTGAGAAATTCTTGGAGTTGAAATCCACACATCATAAAGTTGCTAAGGTTGAGAGACAGCATCTTATTGAAAAGTTTAGTTAGGGGCAATGACACAGTCATATCTTGCCTGGCTATTTATATGCCAGATATCTTAATTGGGGAGGCACAATTCTGGATTCTGGATTTTGGATCATGCTAAGCAAGACAGCAAGATTAGAAAAGCTTTTGGTTTTTCCAACTGAGTAATATTAAATTTGAGAACTATTATTCTGTCAGATTATGACTCAAATTACAGTAAGCAATGCTTAAATTCCATACTTCTGAAGTACTTAAGAAAAATGTATGCTTTACATTGTATATTGAAAGTAGCACCAACATTCCTTTATTTGTTCAGACAAAGTTATGTTGAAATAATGAAACAAAGAAGAACGTTGCTGTTGTGAAATTCCTTGAACTCAGCTTTTGGTGACCTTGTAGACACTAGAGGGTGTTTTGGTTTTTTTGGAACATTACAGAAATGGTATGCCTTGCCATCTTCTGGGAATTCTTTTACTTCCCAGTCTAGTCTACAAGTCAGAACTACATCTAGCCACCATTATTTTTGCTAAAGAAGCTGTACTTCAATGAAACAGGAACTGAATCAGTGGTGGGATTTAAATTTTTTTACTACCGGTTATGTGGGCATGGCTTGGTGGGCAAAGTGTGGCATTGTGGGCGTGGCTTTGTAGGTGTGGCAGGGGAAGGATACTTCCCATTCCCTCCCCACTCCTGTGGGAAGGTTACTACAAAATCCCATTCCCTGCTTTCCAGCTCTGTTCTCCTGTGCAGGGCAACAAAAGAAGATCCAGCCGATCAGCTGAGACTCGGGAGGCAGACAATAGATGGGGGCAGGGCCAGTCAAGAGGTGGTATTCACCAGTTCTCCAAACTACTCAAAATTTCCACTATTGGTTCTTCAGAACTGGTCAGAACCTGCTGAAAACCACCTCTGAACTGAATTCAACTTAAAGCAGATTTTAGAAATAAAAAATTAAGATATTAAATACAATACAACGGAGAGATAAATATTTTTGGAACTCAAATTATATTATTTTAATATTGCAGGTCAATAAAACCCCTTTGGAAAGTTTTAAATCTGGAAACAAAGAAGCTGGTATTGTATTTGGAGCTATACCAATCTATAGGGTGAGTTCAAAGTAATCTGCTTAAATGGAAGCTTCATAAAAACAAGAACATTAAAATCAAGCTATTATGAAAGTTATTCTCTGTGAATTTGCCAGTTTTTATTTATAAAATATTTGTAATACTTGATAACTTTCCTTGAACTATTAATAGTATTGACCTAATATTTTTCCTTCCTAATATAGAATGTAAGTTTTTATCAAGTGGGGCTCATCATTAATAAGATTTAACTTTGTATAAGACATTGCATATTAGAATGGACAATAAATACCTATACTGTAACTACCATAATGATTGGCTGTCTTTACCAAATCATCTGAATTAAATTTACAGCATAACCATGAATATCTTTTCTCAGAAGTAAGTATATACCCTCAGCAGAATATACACATATAACCAGAAGTTCCACTGAATTCTGAGGAGACTTGTGAAATATTATAGAGTAAAAGGCAGATTTCTTTGAAGAGAAACCAATTGTACATCTTAGCTTAAGCCATGTCATTTTACTGCTTTCTATTCTTTTGGAGCTCTTTTTCAGGAGACTTGATTGTCCTATCATAACAAGCTGAATTAAAAAAAAGAAAGAAAGAAAAGCCTTGATGTTTGCTTTTGGGAGGAAATCAGTAACTTCCCAGTTGAAAACTTTAACATGGACATTGGTTTAAATCCAGAAAAGCTCTTCTGCAATTCTGGAAAAGATTTTTTTTTCCTCTGCTCCTATCTCCTGCAAAATTATAGAACTCCAGAACAAATTTTCAGGGAGCAGAGCATGGAAGTAGATTGGAGACTGAAATATTATATGTGAAATACCTCCTTGTTTCTCACTGGAACTATCATTATTCTACTCTCCTCAGTCACCTATACGTACAAAATTATCAAGAAACTGCTAAATCTCTGGGTAACTTAAGACACTTTACAGTTTTCCATTTTCCATTTCCAAGTTATTAACTAAAGAAGTGTTAGACCATGCTTTTTGTGGCTTTTGATAAAGCTACTGGTTAAATAGGATTTAACACATAAAGAGAATCATGTTATTAATAATGGGGGTAACTGGCTTGAATTAACAATTTATAGAACAGCATACAGCAACATACTTTATATGCAGGGCTGCATTGGCCTGAATCTGGAACTTTCAAACATGAATCCTTCCAATCTAACTCCTTCCATCTTGAAATATATTTAAAAATTGATTCACACCTCTATCTGCTATTCTGTTCAACAGCTGATTACCTTTGCAGGAAACAGTATCAGTGAATGCTAAAAAGTCCCACCGCTTTCTTAGTGGGTAGTTGTTTAATATTTGCTTCAGGAAGAATGTCTGTAAGAGTACACCAGCAGCAAGAGTACAGAATCCTTTTGTTTAACAAGCAAAGAAATCTCTTCTGTTTTAGGAAGTAGAATTAAATCAAACTTCTGCATTTATTTTTACTCAATTGCTAGTGTACAGGGGACCATAACCTTCTACCGTACTAGGTAAAATAGAAAAATGTGGGTTAGACAGCATCATCACCAGACAGATTCATAACTGACTGACCAACCACACTCAATGTGTAGTCCTCAATGGAACTGCATCTACATGGAAGGAAGTATGCAGTGGAGTACCCGAAGGCTCTGTTTTAGGCCCAGTACTCTTCAACATCTTCATCAATGACTTGGACAAGGGGATAGGTGAGGAACTCATCAAAGTTGCAGATGACACCAAGCTGGCTAGAATAGTCTACACTCCAGAAGATAAGGCTTAAGATACAGAAGGATCTTGACAGACTTGAACATTGGGCGCTATCTAACAAAATGAAATTAAATGGTGAAAAAAGTAAGGTTCTACACTTAGGCAAGAAAAATCAAATGCACAGGCACAGTATATGTGGTACCTTGTTCAAAAATAATAACTGTGAGAGGGATCTTGGAGTCCTAGTGGGCAACCATTTAACTATGAGCCAGCAGCGTGCAGCAGCTGCCAAAAAAGCCAACACAGTTCTAGGCTGCATAAACAGAGGGATAGAATCAAGATCACGTGAAAGGTTCATACTACTTTATAATGCCTTGTTAAGGCTACACTTGGAATACTGCATTCAGTTTTGGTCATCACGATGTAAAAAAGATGTTGAGACTCTAGAAAGAGTGCAGAGAAGAGCAGTAAAGATGATTAGGAGACTGGAGGCTAAAATATATGAAGAATGGTTGCAGGAACTGGGTATGTCCAGTCTGATGAAAAGAAGGACTAGGGGAGACATGATAGCAGTTTTCCACTATCTCAGGGGCTGCCTCAAAGAGGAGGGAGTCAAGCCAGAGCACCTGAGGGCAGGACAAGAAGCAATGGGTGGAAACTAATCAAGGAGAGAAGCAACTTGGAACTAAGGAGAAATTTCCTGACAGAACTATTAATCAGTGGAACAACTTGCCTCCAGAAGTTGAGAATGCTCCAACACTGGAAGTTTTTAAAAAGATGTTGGATAACCATTTGTCTGAAGTGGTGTAGGGTTTCCTGCCTAAGCAGGGAGTTGAACTAGAAGATCTCCAAGGTCCCTTCCAACAATGTAGATCAGAACCACTGCATGTTAGTTGCAAAAAATATAACCTTCTTTAACCTCTATTTAGCCTATGAATTATCCCAAGGTCTTTGGGTGAATCCCCAGCATTTAGCCCTAGTGGGTTAGGCCATGTCCATTATACATGAGTAAATCAATAGCATAAGTTTAATTTTGTCCTAAAGGACAAGAGTTGGCCAAATTGACCTGTTAAATTAGAGAAAAGATAATATCCATGCTTATTTTTGACTGAAAAATCCCTTATGTAAAACAGAAAAAAGGATCATATGATCTGTAGTTTTGCTGATTAGATAGAATAAATTAAAGAAAGAGAGTCACAACATAACTTTAGAGAAAGAGGTAAATATATAATTCTACTTGTAGAATCCACTTCTTTATATCTTCTTTGCTTTTTTCCTTTCACCTTTCATTTCTTTTTGCACTTTAGTTCTTTTATTCATTTATTTTCTTTGTTACTTTTAAACTTATTTACTTTACTGTATTAATTTTCACTCTTGTTTTTATAAATTACAATAAAATTATATTTTAAAAAAATTATCAGGCAATAGCTGCAGGGAAAAAGCAATTCGGTAAAGAAGACGGGTTGTAACTTTGCGGATTAGAAAAAGAGCCACAACTAAGACAACGGAGAATCATGTCTGAGACATTTTCTCAAATTACAGTTCTGCTTTGGACTCAGTTTTGGTTTACCTAACTCTTGTCCCTTCAAGAGGGAGACTTGCCATCTCAGTTTGGCAATAGAGTATTCTTCATGCTGTCATAATTCAAGGAGTCTAGGAACTATATTCAATATTTTTAAAAAGGATGTTTATGGCCCACAAATTGGGCTGCAGAATTGCGAAGCATGTACAGAGAAGGCTGGACTGTAAGCCACATATGGTGGCTTGGTCTTTGGTCTGCCACAAGTACTGATAGAGCCATCTTGAATTACATTCCTTAATACTGATTACCACCACTATTAGCACCATTTGAGAGAGAGGGTAAAATCTGATCATGGGCTTTAACAAATTCTCTGTCAACTAAAAAGATACTCCTTTGGTCTTTTTAGCTGCTGGAAAAAGGGAGTGGGGGAAAACAAGGCATTCCTTAAATGCCTAGATAATCACCCCGGCAGCCCAAAGTTGTTGGAGCGCAAGAAGGTTGTTGGAGCGTAAGAAGTTTCTTGGAGAGCATGATGGATGGCTCTTGGAGATGGATGTGTCCCATTGGAGAAGTCACATCCAGGGGGTGGGGGGAAGACCAGGGTCAAGGGGGAAATGTATGATGTGATTTAGTATCGGCTGCAGTCAGCCATGCACCAGCATGGCAACTTCTAATAAATCAATTTTCTTTTCTCTGAGATGCGGCTAGAGACTTTTAATTTGAACGGGGGTGGATTTGTTGGAGCCCTGACATTCTGATGATTAGAAGTGTTACAATTTGTTGATACTTTTTAAAGGATTTTTGCAAATTGCATCCAAGTTTTTAGAGCAATATGTTGTGAACCTTTGATATGATTAATAGTTTAAAATGAATAATTAAGGGAGCACAGTGGCTTAAAATAAAGATCAGAATAAAATTGCTTCCTAGCTCTTTAAAAGTAATAAATGCTGTTTTATTAAGCACAGTAAAATTACCATTTAAGCCATAGAGTTTTGTAGCAAAAGACTATTCTTTATGTAATGGGCAAATATTGGATGGATATAGTTCTGTGGCCTAAAAATCTTCCTGCATGCATCTTGGCTTAGATATCTAACTTCAGTGCAATATAATCCCATAAAAACATAGCTTCACTAGCAGAAAGCCATAAAAGATTTTAAATTTTTTTTTTCCTGTAGTCAAGTTAAACTCTTTCTGAGTACATGGACAAACCTGTCTTGGATGTAGTCATTTTCTGACTTCCTAGTTTAGACTACAACCCTAATACCTGAATTTCCTGGTAGTTAGTCACTGACAAAAGTACATAGTAGCTCGAACTCAGCATACCTTTGGGGGAATGAGACAAACTCAGAGTTGGGTGATTTCAAATAGAACGAATTAAACTTGCTCATGAAAAAAAAAGAAAACACATGATTAAGTTGCAAATATGGTAATTGTAAAATGCTGTAAATAAACAACAAAACAGAACAAGCATTTGTACATTCTTTCCACTAATGACAGTATAATTGATAGTTTTATAGAAAAGAAAAAGAAAAAAACCCTACACTGTTTGTAGCATCTTGAACATCCATGATGTAAGAATACAGGAAATTAAACTTTCTAGATGATAGGCAAATTGTTTTGTACAATCTGAGATCTGCAGCTTCTAAGGAGTTGTAGACCATCATCTGCAGAAGATTCTCCAGGGTTTTATTTTTTTCAAAAAGATCCATATTTATGACAGACACTTGGGCATTTGATATCGTTGAGCAGAGAATGGGGGCGGGGAGTTTAAGTCCATATGTAACTGTTTTTAAAAATATATAAATGTGACAAACAAGTCATTTAAAAGCAAAAGAAGAAAACTGCATGGAAAACTGTTAAGTCAAAGTAAACACTTTACCTCTGGATAAGGATAGTAATATGAATGTTTGGTTTGTATAAAAAACCTCAACACACTATAAATCTTTTCCCAGACACATTTGAAACAAGCACACTACTGATGGTTGTAATTTTGAATGGGGTAAACATTGAAAAGCCTCTTATAAAGGTGATTTCAAGACACCAGTTAATAGATTCTTTTTCTTTGTTCATATTCCTTTATAAACTATTGCAGCTTTTCACATAATTCTTAATTTTTCTGAATTACTTGAAAAAGGTTGTAACACCTCCAAAGCTGAAAATAGCTTCTGCTGATCAAGATGGTTCTTTTGAAAATATGGCCAAGAGAAGCAGAGTTATTCAAATTTCTGTGAGTTAACTATTTCTTCTATACATGTTAAGTACATGAATGTGAGCTACCCAACTATGCTCAAAAAGCACTAAGGACTCCACAGTTCAGCCCAAACTAAATATATAATCTTGCCTACTGGAAGTAGACAAACTGCAGATATGAAGGCTACTATATTTCCCTTGTTTTTAACCTATTAGGTTTTTTTTTAATTGCTAGATTTTGGTTGGAGACAGCAAAAATTCAATTTAGGTTATATTTCTTCTAGAGATGATATATCCTCACAGCAATCAATAAAGAAGCCAAAAACAATTCCACTATATGGGATATAGCCATACCTTTCATTCTGGGAAAAAATAAATGTAAGCAGTTGGATTATCATAATTAAGCTTCGGAATCAGTTTTAGTGGCCCAAGTAGCTGACCTACATTGGAAAATAGGAGAAGTGCAAATCTGTTGACGCCTTTCAGGATTTTTCATTATCATCAAAAATGGGGTCAGGTTAGACATCAAAAACATGATACTGTGAATTTAATCTTATCAAATAATCAGTTTCCAAAAATGGGGCTTGGTCATTATGACTCTATCCTGTTGGCCTTTAAAATATGAAAAGGGCCGGTCTTATACACGTATAAGACATTGAGAAAAGATACACAGACTTTTAGCAACCAATTGTATTCATTTCTGTCTATATATGACACACAAAAACTATAAAATTCTTAAATTGAACTTTTGAATGTCATTTTCAGATAGATGTGTCCAATAATTCAAAAATCCAAAGAAGACTATAAATAGGGAAATTAATTATTGGCAATGGAGGCTTACCACAAATTCTAAACAATGTTGTGTTTCTTTTGTTGGGCCAAACTAGGCAGATTGGGAATAGTTTAATGAAAAGAAGGATTAGGGGTGATTTGCGTTCCAATATCTAAGGTGCTGCCACAAAGAAGAGAGGGTCAACCTATTCTCCAAAGCACCTGAAGGCAGAACAAGAAGCAATGGATGGAAACTAATCAAGAAGAGAAGCAAACTAGAACTAAGGAGAAATTTCCAGACAGAACAATTAGTCAGTGGAACCACTTGCCTCCAGAAGACTGCGTGCTCCAACACTGGAGGGTTTTTAGAAGAGATTGGACAACCATTTGTCTAAAATGGTGTAGGGTTTCAAGCTTGAGCAGGGAGTTGGACTAGAAGACCTCAAAGGTCCCTTCCAAGTCTATTATTCTCTTAGGTCTGGGATCAACATATATTTGGGAAGCTCAAGTAGTATTAGTAGTACTTTATATCAGTTTAGATTAAGAAACAGATTTCCTAGTAAATAAAAGTTTGCATTTGCTGTTATTAACCTTGAAATTTAATAACTCATACAAATAGAACAGTATCGTATGTTTACCCTGATCAGTGGGCTAGCTGGCATTCAATCTGATAGAAACAAACATTGTTTTTTTTTTTTTACAGACATCACGTTTATCACACCCTCGAAAAGGTGTAAAAACCAGTCAGATGCCACTGATGCCCGTTCCTTCCCCCCCACTGCTCTCTGTACAACTCCGAAAATTGTGAAACAGTAAGAAGTGTTGCAATGAACAAAGGTGAAAATAAAAAAGACTGGCAACCACACATACACACGCTGTTAATTGAATCTTGTATCAAGCAACTCACACAAACACAAACCTGCGTCCATTTAAATTCACCAGCTTATCTCCACTGCACAAAATACATGATTCTATTTATTTATTTATTTAAGATTTATATGGCCTTGTGCCAACTCTGATTGTAGATGCGCTCCCCAACCATAAAGGCTGGCATCGGTGGTAATAACTATGTGGCTCGGCTCCTTGAAAAGTTGTCCCCTGCTGATGGCTTGGGACTGCCACCACTGGAAGGATCAGATAACCGGAAGAGGGATCAGGACCTTGATCAATGAATGGCTCCTGCCTGACCTCTAATAGGGTAGGAGGAACCACTCTAGTGACCGGGCATGTAGTCGAGCCCATGGGACGATGGGTATACAAGATACCATCTTGCCCAGGAGTTGTGACAGTAGAGATTTATATACCCAACTCACACACAATGACTCCCAGTGGCATACAACATTAAAAATCAACACTATAGAAACTCCAGAAGCCTCCCCACCCTTTCATGGCAGTGATGCGTGGTTGGCTTTGAATCAACCTGGAGTCTCTAGGCCACTGATGAAACCATGTTTTCAAGGACTTCCAGAATAGTAGTAAGGAGCAGGCCAACTTTATTTCCATAGGAGCGATATTCCAAAGGGTCCCATCAGTTGGACGTCCTTAATAGATGGGAACAGTAACATATCCTGCATTCCCATTCTGATGAGCTAGGTAGATGTAGCCGGGGAGAGGTGATCCTTCAAATACAAGTGAACTTCGACTTACAACCATTCATTCAGTGACTGTTTAAAGTTACAATGGCACTGAAAAGTGACTGATGGTTTTAACATTTATGACCATTGCAACATCCCCATGGTCATGTGATCAAAATTCAGGTACTTGTCAACAGGTATGTATTTATGACAGTTGCACTTCCTTGGGAGTCTTCCCAACCGGCTTCCCACCAACAAAGGCTGGATAAGAGAAAGAAAGCTTCCAAAGGTATGAAAAAGAGGAAAACAAGTTAGTTTTACTGCATTACTGATATTTTAACTGAGTTTTATTCTTGATAGCAATGCTATTGTGCTACGTGAAGGAATGCATGCATTACATACATACATAATTTTGCCTGAGGGTCAGTGGTGGTAGTCAGCAGGTTCTGACCAATTCTGGAGAACTGGTAGCAGAAATGTTGAGTAGTTCAGAGAACCAGCAAATACCACCTCTGACTGGAGATTTTATAGTATCCTTCCCCTGCCACGCCCACCAAGCCACGTCCACAGAACTGATAGTAAAAAAAAACTGAATCTCACTACTACTGAGGGTCCCTCATTTATATGAGCAACTTAAGTCTATTCCAAATCTAAACCACTCTTATCAATACAATTATGGTTTGCAAGAATGTGGGATACTTCACCATTTTCAGTATTTTTATTAATTATGTTTGTTTTTATTTAATTGTTTATGCTTAACAAATACATATGGTCTTAGTTTTTCCTCATGGTATATTTATAGATTATGTTTGAAGGCCATTAGCAGTAGGTATGAATGTTTTAAATTTTGGCTCTGAGGAACCAGCATTACAGGTCGTCCTCGACTTACAACAGTTCATTTAGTGACCATTCAAAGTTACAACGGCACTGAAAAAAAGTGACTTATGACCATTTTTCACACTTCGACCGCTGCAGCATCCCTGTGGTCATGTGATCAGAATTCTAATGCTTGGCAATTCATTCATATTTATGACATTTGCAATGCCCTGGGGTCAAGTGATTCTCTTTTGTGACCTTCTGAGAAGCAAAGTCAATGGGGAAGCAGATTCACTTTACAACCATGTTACTAACATAACAATTGCAGTTATTCACTTAACAACTGTGGCAAGAAAGGTTGTAAAATGATGCAAACACTCACTTAACAAATGTCTCAGCAACAGAAGTTCTTAGCACAGAAATTTGAGGCTCAACTGTGGTAATAAGTTGAGGACTACCTGCATTTAAGTATGGTTAGATTGTCTTATAGGCTTTGTAGATTGTGTCATTATCAGCTGATAAGCCTGTATGGAAGAATCATATTAAAACATTTGGCAATACTATATTTTGTGAAAGACTGGACTAGAGCAACTAACTCAATTCAGCTGTATGGGATAGAACCTGTTTTAAGATACCTTCTTAGGAGATTCACAAAGAGACTTGCAAGTTTCCTGAAAGCAGAAACACATTTTGTTTTAGTCCAAGTATGGAATCAAGGATTCAACGATCAAAACCAGGCTGCAGAAATTCAGAGGGGCGTAATCAGGTCTGCTGGGGATTTGCAGGGGTTCAGGAGATCCCCTAGCTAAGATTATGTGCAGTTTGGAGAACCCGCAAATCCCACTCCTGGCTGGCCCTAGCCCCTCTACCCCGCCCCTCCCAGGAGTCCTCACATGGCCCATTTTAGATGCAGGTAAGTGTAGGGTGCACGCAGAGGCTCGGGGGTGGTGGTGAAAAACGGGCCTCCTGAAAATTTGGGAAGACTGGAAATGAGTCCGTTTCTGGCTTCCAGAGAGTCTCCAGAGCCCAGGGAAGCCATTTTCACCCTCCCGGAGGCTCGAGGAAAGCCTCCAGAGCATGGGGAGGACAAAATATACCCCACTGCCATGGTGCAGGAGGCTGACAAGGCTACGCCCACCATGGCCACACCCACCATGGCCACACCCACCTGGGAACTGGGCAGAAAACCTTTTGCTAAAATTTTTGAAGCCCACTCTGACATTGCAGCAACACCTTGAGAGTTAAATTTTTAGGCAGTAATTTCACTAAAAATCTGTAACTAATGCTCTTAATAGCACAGAAGCAGATGATACAGTATATTAAAACTATGATTTCTTTCTTTGAACTAACATACAGTATTTGCCTACTTTCTAATTCATTGCCCTTTTTATCTCAGTGATAATGAAGAGATACCTATGAATATATTTTTGTCCCAAGTATGGGTGTGCTACTTGACATTTCTGAAAACAGAAATCATTTTGTGAGAAATGACAGTAACATACAAATTGCTCACAGGAAAATAGTAATAAGAAAAAAAACTATTCTTCACCAAATCTGTCTGTTCAATAAAATATACTGTACAAAACATTAAACTCTTTAAAAATTGTTCCACCTTTAAGCCTAATACATATTTGCAAAGTTTATTGAGTAGACAGTAAATTTAAATTAGCAGGCTGTACAATGTGTAATATTATTTTCGGAGCAAGATGGAAATTAGTTTCAGAATTGCTGTATGACTCATTTGCGGTGAGAAAAATACTTTGGTTCAGAGTAAATGTATGCAAGCATTCTATCTGGAACATATCAACCTTTTGATTTATTAATATGGTAACTGTTATGTTGTGATATCTTAAATTTGGGGGAAAGTGTTTGGAAAGGCAGCAAGCATTTTTTTAAAGGAAAAAATGTTTTTGTAACTGAAATAGTCCTGCCCTAAGGCAGAATTTAAACAATAAATAAGTAAATGAAGTACATTAATTGGGGCTCAGAATTACAACAGTTCTACTTTTTTCTGTGTGAATAACACATCATCCACCTTCATTATTTGACCCTAGAATGATTCTCATTATAAAAAGCTGTCTTTATTTTTATCATACCAGGAATAAGTAGTAGCATGGTGTCATCTTTTATTCATTTTCTTTTTTTCAAACCTAAGAAATTCATTAAAGCGTTTTTGTACTGCACTCTTGCTCCCTAATTCTTTTATTTTTTCATCTTTCAGCTTTTCCAGGTACAAAATCCTTTTAGAAATCCATACAATTCATATTTAAAGTTGTGCACATATATAACCCAAATTTAACCTTTTTTATAAAAAAAACAGCCCTAGGCCTGGAAATCATGTTAGTGCTAACCTAAAACCTCTTCATTCTATTCATGGTTATATGAATTCCTAATGCATATACAATAAAAGATGCTAGAAAAAGATGTGCAGAAAGATTAACACTGAGAAAGTTCAATGGAAAAATGAAAGGAATTTGGATACTGTTACAAAGAGTACTATAAACTACAAGAAAAATAATATAAGAAGATCCTTGACTAACTACACACTTCCACTGAAGGGATAGTGTAAAGAAATCCACATATTATTCCTCTCATCCTTCCTAGTACTTATCTCTTCCCACTTATGACTATAATTGTGTTGCTTATATCTTTACAATTTATATTGTTTTGTTTCCTAGTATGATTTGATTGCTTATTAGTAACCTATGACTATCACTAAGTGTTGTATCTTATGATTCTTGATGAATATTTTTTTTCCTTGATGTACACTGAGAGCACATGCACAAAAGATAAATTCCTTGTGTGTCCAATTATACTTGGCCAATAAAGAATTCAATTCAATTCTATTCTATTCTTTGGCACATGCTTGACTGGTTGCTGGATAAGAATGTTGGCAAGGCTGTGGAAGAACAGAAGAGCTAAATTGGATGGACAGAATTAAAGAGATTGGGCTCTCCTTTAAAGAATTATTGGGTTGTTGCTGCAGATACATCAGCATGGCAAGCACTGATCTGTCCTTTATCGGGAATCAATAAGGCGTCAATGGTCTTTATCCAATTAACCAATTTAGGCACCCAGATTTTCTGGATCCTGGAGTTTACCAAGAGGTTTGTAGATTTAATAGGTAGAAGGGTGCTTATTTATGAGATTCATCTATTGCACTGGTCGATCAAAGCAGACTCTAGGTGGCATACCGATACTAAATATTGAAAGCTCACAAAATGACAGTACTGATAAAAATAAAATAATCAGGTTAATATGTCCATCCACGACATCTTTTCCACCACTTGCTAAATGAATGTTTCTTCGCTGAATTAATCCAACTGCCAACGTTCCCACATATTAAGCCATAAACTAAGCGAGATTGTGCCATACCGACCCATTAACGTGACATCTGCGTTTAATTTCTTGTTCTAACAGAACTAAACAGAACTCCAGTAGTAACAAACAGCCGCGCCGTAACTT